ACAGGGTTACAACCCCAGAAACGAGCAGAGTTTACCGTAAGTTGGATACAGATATCTAGGTAATTATTCAATTCTGTCGACAGTGGGATTTGAACCCTAGACCTCTTGCATGGCGGTCCGACAACCTAACCACTACACTAAGATCACCAGACCTAATTATTTTTGTTTTGAATTATGTGAATTTTATATTTTAACTTATTCTCTTTATTTCAAATTTTTCTGCTTGTTGTTTTGCTTCAGATGACTGATTTGTATTTATTATTAGATTATTAAGAATTGGAGTTGATAGATAATTACCTTGATTATTATTCTTTTTATTTATAATAATTGGTTCTGTTAGCCTCATATTATTAGAAGCTGCTTCTTGATATTGTTGCTTAGATATCGAATTTTTGATATAGCTTGTGTTAGAGCTAATGGTCCTATTATCAGATAGCTAATCTATGTTAGTAGCAAAACTTACTTGTTCTAACAAAGTTAATCTTCTGTTGATATTTTGTTGTAGCTGCTTATTCTACTGTCTTTGTTATTTGAATTGTTGGTCAATTACTTGTTTAATTGTTGTTGTGAACATTGTGGTTGATGCTTGCAAGAATTGGTCTATATATTCCTTTAACTGTACACTTGTTGATAATAGTAAAGTTGTCATTTCTTGACTTTTTAAGTTTTCTGATTCCAGTCTTTCAGCTCTTATGCTAGATGGTCCTTCTGCATTATTATCTTCTGGTTCTGTGTTGGGCATTATTGTTCTTATAATTATAATTTGCTAACGCAGAATTTTTTTAGGCTGTCTGATAATAGATGGCACTTGCCAATCTCTGCTTAATTTATATGCCTCACTGCTTTGATTACTTTATGATTCACATTTGTGGCATGCATAAATTACTTTGCTTATAGGGAAATACTCGCATATTTTTGCATGTGCTTGCTTATGCCTTACTTACCATTGCAGGCGTTTGCTTATTGTTATTATTATTATTATTATTATTTGGTGGCGCGTGCTCGCTCCTGCGCTTAGTCAAACTTTTTCGATCTATTGACCTCTGGTCAATTTGCAAGAATTAAAAAAAAATTAAAAAAATAATTTCCGGCCAAAATTATAAAATTACGTTAATGCAGGCCAAATGCCGCGCATTTTTTGTGCGGTTCCTAGGATCGATTTTAAACCCTTTAACAGCGGACTAAAAACCAATTATTAGTGTATTTTATATAGTATTTTTGATCTGTTCAGTTTATAATAATATGATTGGTCAAAGTTATATATATCATAATTAGCATTAAATAAAATTATTCTTTAAGATTATTTAATCTAAAGATTACTTATTATTTTTCGTCATTCTAAAATATTTCCGACATTCTAAAATATTTATGAAATTTTAAAAATATATACGGTAAATAATTTTTACAACCTGAATTATTTTATTCATTATAAATTATTTACGGTTTTAGACTATCTAAAATAATTTTCATCATTTTAATTTTCGCTATGAGCAAAATAATTTCGACCCCAACATATAGTATTATGCTTTTTGTTCATAAGATAGTATAAAATAAATTTAATTCTAAGTAACTTTAATTAATAGTTTAAATTAAAAAATCAGTTCAAAATTTAGAGAATTGATTACACTTTATCGTGAACTAATTGAGACAATGAGTATTAAAATTTGAGACAATTTATTGAGGTTTGAAAAGCTTTAAATTAAAAAAAAAATTAATATATAATTTAAATCAGAAGAGTAATGCTCTAAAGGTCTTCCACTCCTCTCCAGCCAAATTATTTGGTCAATTTTTTTATTAGGCGCTCCGGAATTTATAAAAGCTGTAATACATACAAAAATTTTCTTAATTGACTACTAAATAATATATTCGGTAATAAGATATTGACGTGCATATTTCCATTTTATTGACATATAGTTAATTTGATTCATATAATAGTAAAATAAACCAGTACGTAATATTTTCAACAAATGAATGGAAAAAGATTAAGAAATTTTTAAGGAACAAAACTTTTTATTCCCACCATAATTTTATTATACAGTATAACATAAACCAATCGATTACATAATTAGCCAATTTCACTAATATAAAATCATGACTAAATTATTATAAACATTGGTCATATGATGGAAAATTTTTTTTTTACCAGAGTTAATGTAAACTTCCAAGTGCTGCGTGGCAGCGCATTAACTCTGTTCATACTACGTACTATATTAGCATGTGAAGATTTTTTGCTATGATTATTTTGCACAAATATAGTATTTCGTGACAAAATATTGTGACAAAAAAAATCCAAGATCATATTAAAACTAAAGGTAATTACATTAGTGAAATGTATCATATTAAAACTAAAATGTAATTACATTAGTGAATGTATCATAATAAACTTATATTACTAATTTGTCTAAGCTTTTTTTTGAGCATAAACACGTACGTGCATATTAAAACACTCTGATTCCATTACTTCTTTTCCCATATCATTAACTAAACCATCATATTCTTCAGAAGAAACTTTGATAATATTCATAAGTGTGGGTTTTATATTTGTGAGGACAGCTGAGTAATCATCAAAAAGCTAAAAACAATAGATATAAAATTATTAAAACGTTTTTTATTTTATCGATATATATAATGTTGATCAATTAATTTTAAAAAACTTTACCAATTTGTATACTTTGGTGGAATATTGCCCATCCACATATTTCTTTTCTTCACAATGAACATTATGTAGTTGTTTATTTTCTTCCAAATAATTTTGTAACTTATAACATACTGTTGGGTCTATACCACGTTCGTGAAATAAAATTAATACTAAAAAAAGCATTTATATATTTAAAGTAAGAATATTGTATTGCAAAAAAAAAAATTATCTTGACGAATGAAATTAATTGATTTAATCCTTACAGCCATCAACAATCTTTCTTGTTGCAAGTCCCATCATGTTATATTGAAAGTCGTTTTCTGCCAACTAAAAAATATATATGTTTATAAAAATATAATTAATATTTTTTATTTATTGATATATATGTTTGTAAATATATAATTAATGTTTTTTTATTTATTGATATATTTTAAGATATCAAACCTCTAAATAGCCGCCAGGTTTTAATACACGAACTAACTCATCAATTGTTGATGACCATTTATTTCTTGGAATTCCAGCGAATAATATTCGCTGAAATATAAAGTCGAACGTATTATCATTAAAAGGTAATCGTTCTAATACGTTTGCCTGAATAAATTTAGCATTAGGAGGTATATTTTCATCAGGCTGCATTTGTGAAATATCAATTCCGATAAATTCTGATTTCGAATATTTAGTTGCCATTTCGAGCAACCAAGCACCACTACCTGTTCTAAAAGTAATTATTATTATTTTTTAAAATAAAATAATAAATAAATAATAATTTATGATATTACGTATAAACATTATATAATGATTACAAATAATATATATATATATATAACATTTACCCTACATCGAGAACCTTTGTTCCAGCTTGATTAAGGAGATTTTCAATCGGAGAGAAAAAGTTACCTTGCCAAATATATCTCTCTATTAAATGTTGTAAATGTATTCTATCACATTCTTCATCATCGTGGGGAAATGAATAAACATGATTTTCTACATCATCACCATGGTCGTTTGATAAATCATTAGTTGTTGACCTTTTAATCCTCCTCCCTTTTATCTTACTATTACAAAGTCCCATAATGTTAAAATTATTTTAGCGTAAAAAAAAAAAATTTTTTTTTTTTGTTCTGATATCGGTTTTTTATTTGTTGTCAGCACAAGTAGTAATATGTCGTATCATATTGTAATCAAAACCGATTACCATATTGGTTATAGCATATTTCAAATAATCACCAGCATAACTTACACCACATTAATAAAAAGTAATAATATTGCCAATCATTTTTCAAATTATACTGAATTAAAGTCGAAATGTTTAATCTATTTGTATCTAATTGTTCAGGGGGGTTATACCAATAATCGTTCATGCATTTGCTACGTGTTTTAAATTTAATCAAGTAATTTGAAATTGATAAATTGAATATTATATGTTAATAACAATTATTAGCATACGTAATACGTATAGGTAATTCAAAATCTGCATGTTATAATTTAAAGTTTTGTTAATTTCCAAGTTTTGGTTTTTTTCGTTCAAAAATAAACTTTAATTTATTGTCCTCACTTATCGATTTATAGAAAACATCCTCATTTGATTTTGAATGACATTAAAGAAATATATATATATATATATATAAATTTTTTATATTTACTAATCATATACTTTTAATTAAGTACTGTTATTCTTTATAAATTATCCGTTGTTTGATATATTTCTCCGAAACATTTTTTGTATAAATTCTGTAGATCAGTTTTTTAGAGTTGATCAGCAATGATATCGCCGGATATACAGGTATTCTTTAATTATCCCTAAATTTCTCGGTCTATTGTTACTACCCGGGAAAATAGGAATGTTGCTCAAACCAGAAATAAGATTTGGATCGACATTAGTGTAATTTCAATCTTTACCTGTTACATTTTTAAACCAAAAATTATTTACTAATTAGAATAATTATAATACATATAGAAGTTAAAGATAGTACTTTGTGGAACTTTTGATAATTGAAACAGATACTACGTAAATATCTAATACGTATCGGTATTGTACTTGCGTTCTAAGTTTTTACGCTTAAACTTTTTCCCTGACCTAACTATATTTATCTAATTATTAATTAGGTTTTAATGCATGTAAAAAAAAATTTATTGGATAAAATAAATTTATTTCCTAATTAGTATGTCCACGTTTCGATTTTTATGTGATTAACTTTATTAAGGTTCGACTCTTATTTTTGTGTATTTCCTTAATACTTGATTAATCAAACTTCCGAATTGCTTTTACTGTATGTTTCGCTTATTATAACTTTCTCATTATATTTTATGTATGAAATTTATTCGATTTTTCCGTACTTATATATGACTTATGCCATATAATGTACGTATTTCACATGTCTCGTATTTTAGATATGTCACTTCATGCCACATATTCAAATATTGATATATATATTTTTGTCTAATTGATCCAAATAAGGCAAGTAATTACTTTATTTCGTCTTCCAACTTTATCGGGTACAAATACTAACACTAAACGTTAACATTTATAGTGTGAGAGTTACGTTAAATAAATAAATAATTTAAAATAAAATAAATAGAAGATATCTCGGAATTCAACTTGGAATCAATTACAACGTACAGTACCTATATTCGGTAATGGCAAATATTTTTTTATTACGTAATTAAAAACAGGTAATGATTATAAATCTGGATATATTTAAATCCAATAAACACAGTACGTATAACTTATTTAATTATTTAATTACCTAATGAAGTCTAATTATTTAAATTTTTGATCCTCATACATAGATGGTAAAACAATAAAACGCGTAGTCAATAGATGAATTGATGTGGTCGATAAGATACATGCAAGGTTAAAACAGCTTATTGATCTAGATGAACCAATAAGTAAGGAAGTATTATTTCCCTTTATAACCGAAATTCAGTTATTATTAGATAAATACTGATTGTTGTTATTCTCAGATTATCATTTATATATAAGTCTAATGTAATTGACTGTTCTATTATTATAATCTCTCTCTCATATTTACCGAAACTATAGTATACTGGTGTATTACTCTTTTACCGATAGTAGTACATTATTTATCACCGGATAATCATGCTTTTAGACATTTCCAAAAGGGCTTTAATATAGTAATTTCAAAAATAGGGATTAGACCCATTCAAAAAAGTAATTTAGATCACTCTATGTTTACTCGCGGGTTATCCGAATACGCAATTGTCAGTTATATATATACGTAAGAATTTTATTCAATACGAATAAAAATTGAGGACGATAGAAAGTACACATTGTACTAGCTTCTAGACTCGGACGTTGCTTCACGTGTGAAGTCTTTTTTTTTTGCATTAGTTTTTGATTTGTAAAAATTTTATTTTACTTTTTGTTTTCTAGATTAATAAAGGTTAGACTTTTTTACATGGTTAAATAATGAATTATAGAAGTTCTTAATTTTATAAAAAATTAATTATAAGAATTAGAAGTGATAGCAAATTTGTGAATCACCATATACAGTATAAGCAGTGCAAATTTTTGAAATAAAAAAAAATCTAAACCATAGTTATTTGACGAAACTATGTGATACTAATCATCACACAGACATGAATAGTAACATGTAAATTCACATGTTAATAGCACTAATATTATTTACATGTGGCTGTGTGATAATTAGTATCACATAGTTTCGCCAAGAAACTATGATCTAAACACAAATAAATGATATTGATCAGTGTTAATATTGGTACGGGCCGGCCTCGGCCCGATGGACCGGTTGATCCGCGCTTTTGTATGGTCGGTCGATCAGAAGGATTTCCATCTAAAGTTGAATTTAACGTTTTGTGAATTAACTAAGAATCAATGTTATAGGAAGACTTTCGTTATTATTGGCTGATATAAAACAATTGGTCGAGTAATTTATTTATACAGTTATACAGCTATTTTCATTATTCCCAGGACGTTTGATTAAAAAATAGACAATCTGAAGTTTTTGATTTCGGAATAATCTTTCCAAAATCAAAAACTTATTGAATCTGATTGTTTATTTAATCAGTGATGTAAAGTACTTTCAAGAACGTAATATTTCACTAATAAAAATCCTTTTTTCATTTCGAAATCAGTGCAAAAATAATCAGCAACCTCGAAAAATTTACGTAGAAGATAAAAATATCCAAACGTTTTTAAAACTGCTTTTATCACATATAAAATTTATAATTAGTTATTTAATTTGGAGGACATGCATAAACTTTTTAGTAATAGAAGATTCGTTGGTTCTTATAGTGTGTGTGTGAATGTCAACGTTTTGGGTTTATGGATTATAGATTGTATACGTAGTGGATTCAAATTTATTAATAGTAAATACCATTTTACTACTTTACCTAGTCTCTAGATATATACAATAGGAAATTCTTTCGTGTATCTTTACTAATTTTATAAAGCTTTTTTATAAACTTCTTTTTATTATACGTAGCTATTTTCATTATTCCTGGGACACTTGATTAAAAATTAGGCGAGTGATTAACTATCCGATTCGATAAGGTTTTGATTTCAGAATAATTTATATATTTATAAATTAATATTTATATAAAGATGCAAACATTAGATTGTTTCTATTAAGTCTATCAATATTTATTTATCTTTAGCACTATTATAATCTCTATTATGGTAAATATGATACTTTTTTTGGAAAACAGTCGAAAAAAAAATCTTGGAAGGCTTATCTAAACAATTCAATAAATTTTTGATCAAATCGAACTTTTTGATATTATCATTTATTTGTGCAATGTATTTAATATAAAAGTCTATCTTATACTATTTTCGAATTTTTTTTTTATTTAGTTTTATTGGTTGATAAAAGGACAGTCTTTGCCATAAGTTTTCATACAAAACACACTAATCATATTAGACAAATATTTAAATGAAAACTTAGTGTTGATAATGTAATGACGTGTAGTTAATCACTTGCCTAATTTTTAATCAGGTGTCCCAGGAATAATAAAAACAGCTGTAAGTTATAACCCAGCCGGGTCAGTTTTTGTAGACCTTTGAAAAAAAAAAAAAAAAAAAAAAAAAAAAAAAAATTTCATATGTAATTTATTATAAAAAATCTTATAGATCAGTTTTAAAATAAAACGCGGGTAATTTTTTAAAATTTTAGGTTATGAAAACCAAGAAATTAACTTTGTGCGGTCTAATATTAAAAAGATAATTTTTTATAATTTGATAACGAGGTTTCAGAAATAGGCCGTTTAAAGTTTATTAGTCCCCTCTCTGTCAGTGGTCCCAAACAAGCCAATCACAACATCTCACTAATCACATCATTTAGATTGACCAATGAGTATTCTACAGCATAATATATGTTCGTTTAAATTCCCTCTCTGAGCCAAAAATATTGACTTAACCAACTAATCAACTATATTCAGAAAATTTGAAAAGATTTAAAGGTTTTTTGTATAGATTTTTTTTGAAATTTTTTTTATAGAGATTCGTTAAATTTTACTAGAATGTTGCACACCCTAGCACGGCATGTACAGCACAGCTTATACCAGGAACGGAGTATGAAATACGTTTACTAGCAAGTTAAGTGGAGTCGCATCTGATTGGATGATCGTTCCTCGTGATTTCTGTATTTGTGATTCAAAAATAAGACCTTATTATTTAATTGTTGTGATCTTTTGATTTGTTATGTGTCAACCTCGTTTTTACTTGTTCAAGCTTTCGCTGGATTATCAATTTGTGTATTATGGTAAAAATTTTCTATTTTATATATCAGTGCTGATTTTCCCTTTTTTTGTTAAACTATTTAATTTCGTATTTACTTGATTTTGATTTTCTCAAATAATCTACGATTAATCGTTATAATAATTGACATATATTGCACTTGTTATACCAGGAACGGACTACAAAGTACGTACGTAGTGTATGGTTTACAGGCAAGTTAATGTGTGTCTATTTTTCACACGCCATTTTTTACACCTTTTATATGTGCGATAACTTGACTATTGAAACTTTATTGAGTTAGAATTACTATATATGGGGATGGCTAAAGTCATGTACCTTAGGGTTAGTTTTTTTTG